ATCCCTTAATGGAGTGCTGCTTCCAGTCCAGCTCCCTGCTGATGTATGTGGGAAGCAGCAGATTGATGGCTTAAGTAGAATTTTTGACACTCATGTGGAAGACAAGGATGGAGTTCCTGGCTCCTGGTTTTGCCTGGAGTAGCCCAAGTTGTTGCAGGCATTTGAGGAGTGAACTAGAAGATGGAAGATCTCTTTGTCTTTGCCTTTCAGAAAAATAAATACATGTATATCTTAAAAATTTTGGTTCAGAAAATTTTTAAGACTTTTTGCATCAAAATAGACAAATATAGAATTGTGCTACCTTTACATTTTATTACAGTTGGTGATGTATCTACAGGTTTAAGTTTTATTGCTGAATGTTGTTTCATTGTGAGACATCTCATTGTGTGAAAATGCTGGATTCTGTCTAGTATATCATTGATTTCAGAACATTAGCATTGTTTAGCTTTTCTTTTTAGTGTTGATATAATAATAAAATACAAAGTCTTATAAAACTGCCTTTTTGACACAGTAGCCTTGCTTTACATTTCCTTTTGATCCATTCAAATGTGTATTTTAAATCATTTGGGTACATGACATTTTTTCCTGTTGATTTATAGTAACTCTTTAGATGATACCCATTGTGTCCTCATCCTATAATTTTACTTTCTTCCATCTCTTAACTCTCTTCTAATACTTGATCAGTAACACTGCAACAAACTACTTTTACTATTCCACCAGATTCTTGTTTGTTTTTGACTATCGTAATGTGAGGTTATTTAGCAGAGGCATACTTTTTTTTTTTTTTTTTTTTTGGACAGGCAGAGTGGATAGTGAGAGAGAGAGACAGAGAGAAAGGTCTTCCTTTGCCGTTGGTTCACCCTCCAGTGGCCACCGCGGCCGGCGCATTGCGCTGATCCGAAGCCAGGAGCCAGGTGCTTCTCCTGGTCTCCCATGGGGTGCAGGGCCCAAGCACCTGGGCCATCCTCCACTGCACTCCCGGGCCACAGCAGAGAGCTGGCCTGGAAGAGGGGCAACCGGGACAGAATCCGGTGCACCGACCGGGACTAGAACCCGGTGTGCCGGTGCCGGCCGCATACGTTATTTTTAAGTTCCTGCTTGAACTCTGCATTCAAAAATGATTTCTATTTATGCTCACAGAGAACCTGAGTAGTTTCTTTTTTGTGTTCTTTATTATGACAGTGAAACCAATCCGTAATCTAAATGGACATTCAATTGGGCCATATAGAATACACGCTGGGAAGACAGTGCCCATTGTGAAGGGAGGGGAGGCTACAAGAATGGAGGTATGTGAGTCATTCGTCCTTGTGTGACAACCATTTGTATGTTTCCCCCCAGACTGAAGCTTGTGTTGAAGGAAATTAGCTTGCCCTAGCAGAGGTTGGGCTGTGTGTGTGTATATGTGTAGGTCAGACCAGGGTTCTGTCAGTTGTAGAATCTGAGGCTGTTTATCCATCATTGAGTGAATATTTATTGAGCATCTCCTAGATGTCAGTTTCCTTGGCTGATATCAGTTGGGAAGTCAAGATAGTAGTTGTGATTAGCCAAATTTTTCTTCTCTCCCTGTTAACTCTTATGTATTTTTTAAGGAAGGAGAAGTGTATGCCATCGAAACCTTTGGTAGTACAGGAAAAGGTGTTGTGCATGATGATATGGAATGTTCACATTACATGAAAAATTTTGATGTCGGACATGTGCCAATAAGGTGAGAGTTACTTTAAAAGCATTTAAAAGTATACAAGGAGATACATTCATAAATATATAGTTGTATAGCACAACAGTAAGTTTAGTGGGTTTGAATAATACAGCAGAAATATCAGCACGTTACAGATTTTAACTGAGGTAAAAATGATAAACTTATTTTTCAGATTTATTTTCTGATCTCAGAGCAGAGATGATTTTGCTAGCATTCCTGAATTTTGGCTCTAATATTTTCCTATTGGTAAACTCCCTATTGTAATTTACATTGTTTCTTTTACCTTTTGGAGATGATTAAAGGCTGGATTTATGCCTCCTTTTTTATGTGTAGGTCTGAGTTTGGTGCCCAAACAAGGAACTTCCCACAGTTATTCCCTGTAGATAGTCAGACTGGGAATTTTACACAAATGTGCATAGCTAACACAAACATGCTGAGAGGCCTCCAGCTGCTTTCCTAGTCAGGTGCCATCTGTAATGAGGTATGGGCTGTTACACAGTCTTGCTTTTGATTGTTCGTAGCAGCAACAGAAGTTGTTGAACATTCATTATCAAGTGAAGACATGGCTAAAGTCTGGGTTTTTCTTAACAGGGGAAATGAGTTGGTAACTCTTGCCAACTATTAATCTTGGATTTTTCTCCTCTTAGGCTTCCAAGAGCAAAACACTTGTTAAATGTCATCAATGAAAACTTTGGCACCCTTGCCTTCTGCCGCAGATGGCTGGATCGCTTGGGAGAAAGTAAATACTTGATGGCTCTGAAGAATCTTTGTGACTTGGGCATTGTAGATCCATATCCACCATTATGTGACATTAAAGGATCGTACACAGCACAGTTTGAACATACCATACTGTTGCGTCCAACATGTAAAGAAGTTGTCAGCAGAGGAGATGACTATTAAAGTTTAGTCCAAAGCCACCTCAACATCATTATTTTCTGAGCTTTGTTGGAATACGGTATACCAGAATTAATTTGCAACATATTGTCTATTTTAACAGTGGACCTGTGTAACACTTTTATCCATGTTTAAAGGAAACTGAAAGGCAAACCATCTAATGTAATTAACCGAGGAAAAAGCTTTCAGGACTTTTCAAATGTTAACTGTTTTTTCCCCACTGTCTAGGAAGTGCTATAAAGCTCAAATTAGTTAGGAATGACTTAGCCAGTTTTGTTTTGAACACCTAAGAAGCTTTTTGGATATTTATATTGCCATATTCTTACTGGAATGCTTTGAATGACTACATCGAGTTTTGCACCTATGCCCTCTGGTATTGCTTTTTAACCTTCCTGGAATCCATTTTCTAAAAAATAAAGACATTTTCAGATCTGAGAGCTACATTTGAATGTCTGTGGTTATAATTCTGAATAGGAGATAGCTACACATAGGGAAATACAGAGCCTTTTATCTGGACTATAGACCTCTTCTGAGATTTTCTTCCGGCACAGTGGCTAAAACAAGATCTATATGTGCATGAAGTGGGACAGTCGTCTTGATAAATGAATATACAGCTATAAAAATGTTTTCTTTCTTTATAATAGTCCCTATCATTATTTCTCGGATGGAAAGCTGTACTAATTGCAACGTTAAATAAGAACTTTGTATCCACTTGAAGCCCCATTCAGTAAACATGTCAACATTTAGATTCTTCATCTGATGGTAGCTTTTATCGGGAATATCTCCAGTTTACTCAAAAAACCCAAAAGGGCATTTATGCCACAGAAGCTAAGAAAAATGGCAAAATCTATGTTTAGATCTTGTTCTAGTTAGAAAGGTTAAATTCAAATTAAGCTTTTGTTAATGCACCAAATGGAAGTGAGGTTACAGCTGCCTTCCCTGTAGCAGCTAAGTGTATCAACTTGAATGTAAGGGTAAATTCTTACATGTTAAGAACTTGTTGGGAAAGTTCCAACAGTTTTAAAGTTGTTATGTCCCAAGGTAAAGCCTTAATTTGTGTACATTGTAGCACTGAGACTTTATTGCCATTGGGATGCTGTTTCATTGGTCTTTTGTTTAGTGTTCTCTTGAGAAACCTGCGACTTGTGTACCTAGATCATTTGTTAACATTGAAAAGCTGCTTTCTGCATTAGAGCTGTAAGCGAATGTTTCCTTTTGGGGAAAACAATGTAGATTTTAGCTACCTGGGCTATGTCGATTATGGTGCTACTCTTCAATAGCTACCACTGAATAATTTCTCCATTTTTTTGTGATTTGTGCTAGTAGCAGAGCTCACTCACACCTACCTGGACACAGCGTAGGGCTTGGGCCCTCTGGCTAACTCCTTGGGTTTTTTGAGTTGATTTGTTTTTGATGTGCTTTTGTGGGAGGCATAAACACAAGCATCTTGATTTTCTAAGTCAAGGAATTTAAACAGTGATCCCCTATGAATGAGTGCTTTTGGAGCTTTGTAAGACAGTCATGCTCTCAAATGTGATTATGAGCTCCAGGCTCCCTTCCCAGGTAACTGCTGGGAGCAGTGGCATCACTCTCTCTCCCTGGTATGGCTGGAAGGGGTATGAGCTTGAAATAGGAAAGCTGTCGCTTATGAAAAAATTGTACTGTTTTTCTACTAGCCATGTATCTCCTGAAATCACTGTTATGTTTACGATGATGTACCTTATCAGTAACAAATTATTAGTTTGATGTTTAACAATAGTGCCTTTAGTAAATTATTTTACAACCAAAACACGTCGTTTCTTGTAAGATCAAATTCGCAGAATGTAGAAGTCCATGTTATGGTTTAAGAGAAGACTTTTTCAATGCAGTTTTAGATTCACAGCAAGATTCAGTGGTAAGTACTACAGATTTTCCATATATCTCCAGTTCTCCCAGACACTCCCCTTTATAGGTGTTATTTTTGAGATTAAAAAGGGCTAAGTGACTCCCATATATTTTTAAATTTAAGTGTAAATATACCATTCTAGATACCAGCTTTAAAGTGGTTCTTTTAAAATCCCATTAAAATTAGGTGCTAAAATGAATTACATTTTAGGAGTAGGCATTTGGTGCAGCAGTTAGACTCCACTACATCCGTTATTGGAGTGCATGGGGTTCAAGTCCCATTCTGTCCTATCCTAGCTTCCTGGATGGCCAATAATGGTTCGAATACTTGGTCCCTTCTCATGTGGGAGATCCAGATTGAGTTTAGGTGGGGCTTTGGCCTGGCTCAGAGTGGCTATTGTGGGCATCTGGAGAATGAACCAGTGAATGGAAGATCCGTCTCTGCCTTTTGAATAAATAAGATTTCTAAAATGTATAGTGTTTAAAAAGTAGCCCTTGACCATAAAAACAGCTAGACTCAAGTATCTTGACCACATAAATCTTTAATGAGGTGTAAGTGTGTAACAATCGAGGTAACAACTTAGAAAGGAGCTTGGTAAGCGAACAGTTCTAAATTTAGCCATTTAATGGTTATTTTTGGCACAAATAATTTGTCTATTCAATGATAAATCCTCATTGTATTTCACTGTCATCTGCCCTGTATGACCTGTTTCCTGAAATTAAAGAAAAACTAGCTAGTAGATGTCCCTTTCAAGTTGATACTTACGGATCTGCAAATAAGCACGAGGATAAACGATCTTCAGTGACTGAGCTCAAGCTGCTGTCACTCAGCTGTACAGGTTAGTGGATTCTCCCCTAACTTGTAACAGGACCTCAAGGAGGTCTAGGAAGATTAAAGAACAAAAATATCTCAGTACATTTCTGATAAAAACGAATTTAGATGATTTTGGTGCTTTAAATTCCTGGGCCCGGTGTTTATCTCAGAGGCTCCTCATCACATAATTCTAGCCAGTAGAAAAGTCCAGATTTCAGTTATTTAGAAAGATGAGATGCTAGACAAATAGCCCAGTTGCCAGTTTTAAACAGTTACCTGCCCTATGCAATTTTTTCAAGATTTAGTCTTTGAACTAAAAATCTCTAGCTACACAAAGCTTTTTAAGAGCTAATGTTACCAAAGGTGTAAAATGAAATCATACCCAAGATAAAGTATACCTGCAAAACATAATATACTGGTTTGCTCAATACAACTTTTTTGTTAGAAACTGCTTTATTTTAAAGAACCTATTTGCTGCCAAATCATCATAAGTCCCAGCCATCATTTTTTGTGTCCATGGTTCCAAAGTTCATTTAAATATACTATCTGTAAAATTGCCATTTTTATTTACATTTTGACTGTCAAACAATTATTAAAATAACAAAAGTTCCATTAAGCAAAGTAATGTCTATCTCGAGCCCTGTGTCTCCAATAAAACCTCAGGATATCAAGCAGTATGATTGATGAGTCTTAGATGGTACCTTCATATTTCACTTTGAATACGTAACTCCCCTCAAGGGACAAATGGCCTAAAATCCACCCTCCTCCATTTTTGGTTAAGCCTTGAAGAAAGTGTTTAATTTTCCATTTATTAAGATATGAGAATTTGTATAGAAAATAGCTACAAAAGATAAATGATGCCACCTGAATTTCTTAAAGATTGCACAAATTCATGATCTGAGCCAATTAAGACATCAAGATATGAGGTAAAACTAGTCCGAGGTAAACATTAAAAAGTTTAAAATTCCAAAATACTTGAAAATAATTACCCACAGTTGATACATATATTTTTTAAGATTTTTTTTTTGGTTCGATACAAAATGTGTAAAATGTAGTGTACGCTGATTCATAAGAAAAAAAGCAAGGAAGCTCATAAGTCAACCCTTCAAAGTATATACAAATCCCAGGAAGAAAGCCCCACTGTCTGGATCAGCTAAAGATTTCATTAGAAGAGGTATCAGCATCTTCATAGGAATGCTGGCTACTAGACAGGAGCTCTGGAGCCAAAAGTTTAGAATTTCCATTCTCAGTAACTCGCTGGGTATAAAACAAGATATAAGCTTGGGCCTTGCATACTTCATCCATAGTGCACATGCTTAGCTTGGAATCATTGCAGTGTACCCAGAATCCTAGAGTGAAGCACAGAAATAGGGTATTTATAAAGGATCCCCAGAAACTTTAATATATAAGGTGTTAAATTTTAGTGAAACTAAAACTTTTTCTAAAGGAAGTTTTCTAGCCAATTCTCCAGTGAGAAATACTCATATAGTTTGGGCATTATGTTACTACTAGTAGTTTGAAGTTACAGAATCTGACTGATTATGAGAGTATATGACATTCTACATAAAACAAATAGTGTACAACTCTTATCGCTTAGTGTTGAATTAATCGCCTTTGTGGATTTTCTGGGCCTTGGTCCATACCTCTGTTGTCTGTGTGTTTGTGGGGATGGTGGTTACTCATACTTTGTTCAAAAGTACTAAAAGGGGCGATGAAAAGTAAAACCTTATGCCAGTGTCTTAACTAGACTGCCCTAGAGGGGTCCAAGGAGACAGTGAATGAATATGAATGTTGTATGTGAAGCTGGAACTCAAAATGTGTTCCAAACGTCTGATTCTGCCGTTCATTAGATGCCTTGCTCTTTAACAAAATGAAGATAGCTAGTCAATAGGACCTGCTCTTGGAAGTAAGTCTGAGGTAACTCTTTGGGCCCAGCGTTGTGGCATAGGGGGGTGAAGTCACCATCTGAGAAGCTGGTATCTCGTATGAGCTCAGGTTCGTGTCTACTCCACTTCTAGTCCAACCCACTGCTAATGGCCTGGCACAGCAGCAGTATTTGGGCCCCTGCCACCCATGTAGGCGATCAGGAAGAAGCTCCTAGCTTTGGCCTGGACTAGCCCTGGCTGTTGGGACCATCTGGGCAGTGAACCAATGGATGGAAGACCTGTCTGTCTCTCCCTTTCTATACTGTGACATTCCAATAAATGTTAAAAACAAACTATTTGATAAGACTGTCTTCACTGTTTTATCCCTATAGGCATTACATAATCAAGAAAATACAATCTCAAACCTGCAAAAAATACAGTCTCATTTTCTACATATCCTCAACTATTTTTCACCCTTAACCAGCTGATTGCAGAAAACTTCCAGCAAGAAAAACGGTCAAGTGGCTTTGCTTAAGATGATTTAGCAGCCAATTCAGAAATTATTAAATCCTAAACTCCAGTTTCTTAGTCTAAACCAAGATAAAATAATTTTTTTCCTATCTATACCTCCTTCAGAATTATAGCAGTAGGCAGTGTAGTGTCCTGAGCCAAATCCTTTCCCATGGTGCATCACTACAGCAGATAAATCATAGATAAAGCATTCTGGTCTGAGGGATTTCAAGGTCTCCCTGCAGCAATAGGGCTCCATGTTTAAGATTTCCTCAAAGCCAACATGAACACCAATCTTCTCTCGGTTATTACGTCCTGACCACCTGTGAACAAACCAGGGTAAAATTACAAACAAAATCAAGGGAAAATAACCATGTATGAGGCCTAAACAGTTGCAATAGATGACAAGAGTGTGGAATACAAAGTAGCACATAAAATAAATATAAAATCTTCAGTGCTAAGTTGGCTATAAATGGAAGATTTTAGATTTACCAAACAAGCCCTATCAAGTTTTAAATATTTACTTTGTGTAGTTAAATAAATGGGAAGGACATTAACTTTTAGAAAACAAATTATAGCCCTGTGTGCACTTTGCTCTTAGCAGATAAAGCCAAGACTGAAGAATTTTTAAATTCCTTTTTGTCTTGCCACAGTATGAGCAGGGTATTCCAGATGGGAGAATACACTCTGGATTTTTTTTCTTGGCCAGTTACAGATCAAAACAAAACAAACCACTTCTGATTCCTCAGAGCACTTCAGCTCTTCAAAAAGTTTAAAACTTGTGAGCTTTCACTCTGTGTGAGTATGACACCCCTTTGTGATACAACTTGTACTGTCACTTCCTCAGTGGGTTGATCACGCCTCCCAAAACCTCCCATTACTTGATCTCAGCATGGTAAGCAATGTTTTAGCCACTCAAATAGTATGCATTAGTGGTACGTGGGGAAAAGTCATATAAAATATGATAGTTCAAAAGACTATAGTCTGAGGGCCGGCGCTGTGGCATAGTGGGTAAAGCCGCTGCCCGCAGTGCTGGCATCCCATACACATGTGTAACGGTTCAAGTCCCAGCTGCTCCACTTCCAAACCAGCTCTCTGCTATGGCCTGGGAAAGCAGTGGAAGATGGCCCACGTCCTTGGGCCCTTGCATCTGTGTAAGAAACCCAAAGTAGCCCCTGGCTCCTATGTGCGTCTCCCAATCCCATTTCCCCTTTTATTGTCATGGATATTAAACATGTGAGGGTTACTTCAAAAAAATTCATGGAAAATATAATTAAAATATTTTTATTTTGGTATAAAACTATTGTGAAATGAATGTATACTCATATTCCTTTATTTAATTTTATAACTTTAAAAATATGTTCATGGTGCTGGTGTAGTTCCAACATCCCATATGGGCACCGGCTGTTCCACTTCTGATCCAGCTATCTGCTAAAGCAGTGGGGAAAATAGTGGGAGATGGCCGAAGTACTTGGGTCCATGCACCCATGTGGGAGACCCAAATGTAGCTCCTGGCTTTGGCCTGGCCCAGCCCCAGCCATTGCAAACATTTGGGGAGTGAACCAGTGGGATGGAGGACCTCTCTCTCTGTCTCTCCTCTTCTCTCTGTAACTCTGCCTTTCAAATTAAAAAAAAAAAAAAACCTGCTGAAGAGTAAATTACCTACTCTCTCTGTTACTTTGAAACATTTAACTGGTCTGTTTCCTGACATCTCCTGAGACCCCTGGAATCTGTAGTATATGCCGCGCCAATGAGAAGACTACAGGCTGGCGGCCCCTAGGTAGCTTCAGGATGGGAACCGATTACCGCAAAGACCAAGGCATGATTAAAGGGTTGAGTCAGCCCATCCCACCTCCAACACCTCTGGGATAGAAGAGAAGCCAAATATTGGTCACCACTGGCCAATGCTGTAATCAACTGGAAGTTCCATGAAAAGCCACAAAGACTAGATTTGGACAGTGGAAGCTGGTGAACCCAGAGGCAACACCCTAGTTCCTCACCCCTTTCAACAGGCCTTGCCCTGTGTATCTCTTCTGCCTGGCTGTTCATTTGTATTCTTTAAAATATCCTGTGATAAATGAGTAAACGTAAGTAAAATAGTTCTAAGTTCTGTGAGCCCCTCTTACAATGTAATCAGTCCCGAAGAGGGGCTCTGGGAAGGTACCTTTACGGCGGGTCTGTCATCAGTTCAGCACCTGAGCATCCCAAGTCGGGGCAGTCTTGTGGGACTAATACACTCTCGGTCTACCTGGACCTGGTGTGAGTGTGGACAGTGTCAGAACTGAAGTCAGCTGGAGAGCACCCAGCTGTCACCAGCAGAATCGCTTGCTTCGGGAAAATCCCCACACATGTTGTAACCAGGGGTCACAGAGGTATTCTATGCTGTGAATACAGTAGGAGAAACTGATTTTGTTTATTCCAGTAGCTCCACATCCTCCCTATGAAACACATAAGAGATCCTGTATCCGACGCACCTAGAATTTTAGTAAAGATGGAAGATCAAGCACATAAAATAATGGGACCTGCTTAATGCAAGTTTGCATCATTCTCTTCAGTTATTAAAGTGTACAAAAACACTTCTAAGACATTGTAACTAGAAAGCACTCATGTTCCTGCTGGTAACTTGGGTGCCACGTGTCTGATGCTGATGGAAACGCAGTGAAATGATGACACACAAGATGACACCGTGCCCGAAACTCACAGTGGCCTGTTTTTGAGAAGGGAAAAGCACAGGACTAGCAGGCACAAGCAGCGCACACTGGAAGTGTTAGAAATACTTCACTTACTCCCTTACTTGAAATTTAGAAACTAAATATTCTTATTAATGCTTTGGGTTAAAATTTACTTGGCTGTAAAGATTAATTCATGGAATAAAGAAACTTTTCCTGCTTATGGTAGATAACTAAATACTGAAATTTGAATTTCTATTAGAATTCCCTTAGTCTCTTCCTTATTACTTTCTCTGTACTGATTCATAAGATTGATTTATTTATAAGGCAGTTACAGATAAAGGGAGAGACAGAGGGAGATCTTCCATCCACTGGTTCACTCCCCCAAATGGCTGCAACCACCAGGGCTGGGCCAGGCAGTTGTCAGGAGCTTCATCCAGGTTTCCCATGTGGGTGGCAGGGAGCTCAAGTACTTGAGCTATCTTCTGCTGCTTTCCCAGGCACATTAGCAGGTAGTTGGATCAGAAGTGGAGCTGCTAAGGCTCAAACTGGTGACCATATGGGATGCTGGTGACACAGATGGTGACTTAACCCACTACACCGTAACACTGGCCCCTTTAAACAGTACTTTTAAGCTTATTATTTTGTTAATGGATACTTTCCCTCCATTTTTAGTGAAATCAGATTTTCTCCATGCATGTGGCTACTTGGTAATTTATTCCATCATACTCTAATTAGCTTTCTATTTGTAATGTCCTAATAGAAAATCACCCAAATTCATATATTATTGCCCTTAATATCAAAGTATGGTACTGTTATTTGCATTTATAGCATCACCTGTAAAGTATAGGACTTTATTCACTAATAAATTTTTTGAGGTTTTGTTGCTTATTAAGTAAGCATATAACTGCTAAAAGTAATTGTAACAATTTTAACTATATACTTATTTTTTTACAAAGTTAGTAGTAAGCTTTATCAGTGGTTTTACTCTACAAAGCAACTGGAAAATCATGAAAATACACAATTGGAGAAAAGGACTCCTGTCCTTCAAAAATATCCTTTAAAAGTTGGGTTTTAGCTTTTCTATACACTATGTCTTATACACTGGCACATATAAGTGGTACTTTCTGCACAGATGAGAATAAAGAATGCTGCATCACAGCATGAAGTTTCTGGAATAAGAATCGACAAAGAGTTTCAAATATATTGGGCAGAAGATCAAAGAGAGAATCAAGTAAGCATCTATGTCCCTCCCTTTCAAGTAATTTTTTATAAAGAACTAAGAAACAGAAAAAGGGAAAATGCAGATCTGTCATGCACTGGTTCACTACCCCAGTGCCCACAATAGTGAGAATAGGGCCAGGCCTGGCCAAAGCAGGAGGCTGAACTCAATCTGGGTCTCCTACATGGACAGCAGGGACCCTAGTCCTTGAGCCATCACCTGCGGCCTCACACACCTTAGCAGGAAGCTGGAACTGGAAGTGAATTGGAACTGAATCCAGCCAGTCCAACACTAGATGTCCTAAGTGGTGACTTCACCACCACACCAAATGCCCTCTTCTGACAACATCTTTGACAGCCACAATATATAACTAAATAATTAAGTGTTTATCTCTGGGAAGTGGGACTGAGAAAAATGAGGTACTTGTACTTTACCTTCTGTAAAACAGTACTTGAATTTTTAAAAAAACAGTCTAAAACAGCAAAAACTTATATAAGAAATATAATTGCAAAAGATGCATTTTATATTCTACTTAAAACTATTGGTTGAGCTCTGTAATTAATACACAATTACTCTTAGGTGTTTAATTAATGCTATAACTAGTACTCAAATAGTATTTTACACTTTATGTTTCTGTGTGGGAGCAAAATGTGGTAATCTTTACTTAACATACGCTAAATTGATCTTCTGTATATAAAGATAATTGAAAATTAATCGTGATGTGAAGGGGAAGGGGCAAGGGAGTGGGAGAGGGGAGCGTTGTGGATGGGAGGGAAGACACGGGGGGGGAGGAGGCTATTGTGGTCCAGAAGCTGTACTTTGGAAATTTATGCTCATTAAATAAATTAAAAAAATATATATAATCAATAGTTTGCAAATAACAGCATACAAAGTATCTCCTCTTCAACAGTCTCTTTCCTTCAAAGAATGAATCAGAGTTCCTCAAGTTAACACAGTTCGCACAAAGTATAAAACCATTTGCTTAGATTGACAGACTGGCCAACTGAGTCACCTGAGAAATACAGTTCAGAAGTTTCAGCTTTTGTCTCAAGCGCTCGGAATTGAATTGGTATGCCTTTGATTAAACATTTTCCACAAAGCAAACAGGTAAAACACTACTAGTTATAGATTAAATTTAGAAATATAGGTATTAAATATGCTAAATATTAAATACTATAATAAAATTTATACAGAGAGTAATACTCTTAGAGACCCGAGAAAGGCAATCCACAAGTGAAGCTAATCAGATTAGTTATTGACCATCGGCAGTGTCTGCTGGGAAAGGCTAAAGACTATGAATAGAATTGAAAAAAAAAAAAAAAAGTAAAAGTCAGTATCTTCTAGCCAAGAATGTACCATTTAATCTGTCATGTGTTCTTTAAGTCATAAAGCCTTAGAAGCACACACACACACACAAAACACAACAAGTTAAAAGCGCGAAGTTGGTCGGCAACTGGTAGCACCACTGGTACTAACCTGAACCGCTTGAGATGCAGCCTGAGCACCTGAGGCAGGTGGCAGATCATCAGCTGCTTCTGGGCCTCTGTGAGTACAACTGGTTTTGGGGAAAACCTTCTACGCTTTGCTGTGATGTCAAAGAATGAAAAGCAAATTTAAGGATAAGGAAATGCTGAGTAAACTTTTTAAATAATTCTTTTTCATTTCGATAGGGACTAATTGAGAGTTACAGACAGGGGCTTTGCCCTCAAGGCGTGTCTGATCCACAACAAAAGGGATGAGCTAAGTAACTTAGAGGTGTGAACACACACTTGTGAGTACATGTATTTTAATAATCCTGGCAAATAAGGTACAGGATGAAGTATACTGCAGTAATATTTAAAAGTCTAAATTTGACTGTATCACTTTATACAGAAACGTTGAGTTTTTCCTTAAGCATTTTAAAACATGCATTCCCCGGGCAGAAAGTTTGTGACCTAAGACGGAGCAGGACCTGAGGGGGCGTGAGTCTCTGCTGCCTAGAGCACCCTCCCCCCACCATTCCCAGGGATCCACCCCAGCATGGCCAGTCACCCGAGGGAGGAGCCTGTACCTCGCCCGAGGGTCTTGCTTTTGCCCTTTTAGCACCAGATTCAGATAAATGCGAACTGGGATTCTCCTTGTTATCCCGTCTGCTTCTCTAGAGGTCTGCTTCAGGACTGTCATCCTGCGGCTTCTGGCTAGGCTGTCTACTACTGACGTTTGCTCTTGATGTCCAGGGAACGAGCCTTCAACTCCTACACCAGCTCCAGCTTCCAGCCAGAGCAGCAGTCCCTTCTCGTGTAGGAGGCACAATCAGTCTACCACCATGAGGCTGTGCTCCCAACTATCTCTAACAAACCCCCACCCCCATCCCCCAGAAGTCTTTTTTCCAGGTTGACATCCTTGACATCCAGGAATCCCTACCTCTAGGATCGTCTCCTAAAACATATGGTTCAAGGGGCCTGGTGCTGTGGTGCAGTGGGTTAACGCCCTGGCCTGAAGTGCCAGCATCCATATGGGTGCTGGTTTGAGGCCCGGCTGCTCCACTTCCCATCCAGCTCTCTGCTATGGCCTGGGAAAGCAGTAGAAGATAGCCCAAGTCCTTGGGCCCCTGCACCTGCGTGGGAGACCCAGAAGAAGCTCCTGGCTCCTGGCTATGGATCGGCACAGCTCCGGCTGTTGCGGCCAATTGGGGAGTGAACCAGCGGATGGAAGACCTTTCTCTCTCTCTCTGCTTTTCCTTCTATCTCTGTGTAACTTTGACTTTCAAATAAATAAATCTTTAAAAAAAAAAAAAAATGGTCCAAGTACATCCAGATAGGGAATGTCAACTTTATGACTTATAGTTTTAAGCTATCTGCCTTTATGTATTAAGTTTCTTTAGTCCTGTATGTAACAGCCCCAGCTGACAAACTCCATGTAGCATCACAGCTCTGCATTTGTGATAGCTGTTTACCCTCCAGACTTAGTGATGAAAAGTATCTGCAACTATTCACATTTATATATGTCTAAAAAATACATTACAGCAAAATTGATGAAGGCTTATTTTTCTCTAAAACCTCAAAAATTTTAGGCTACTTATAATAGTGTTCACACTAGGTAGCACTCAGAAAAAAAATGTTAGTCATTCTAGGAAATCATCAATTGATATGACATTTCTTTAGTGCTGGAACATTCAATGTTTATTTTCCATTTAGAGTTCAAAGCCTTAGAATCATTTGGAGACATTAGGGGAGAATTCCTGAAAATACATAGTATGCCAGTTACCCTGATGCAGGGCATGCATCAGATCTGATTTTTATAGACTACTAACTTCAAGAAGATGCTTCTTTTCGATATGGTTATTTTACTGGCCTTCTCTCCTCCCCGCCCCGTCAGGTTCCTGGGCTCATCTTTATTAAAGTACTGACCCTATTGGATCATATTTATCTGTTTCTTCCACACAGCAGTGTGAGCCCTTTGAAAGTATGTTACCTCTATCCATAGCAACTACCACGACGACTAATAAGAGACAGTAGGTGCTTCTGAGTAAACCCTGGTTTTTATGAAGTTATCTAAACAGTAGCAATCCAGTTATATATTATTTCCTAATACACCTATCCATACACAATTATCTATATATCAGTGTTGCTATATAGCAAAAAAAAAAAACAAAACCTTATGAAGTCAGTGTTTCATACGATACAACATGTTTGCCCATTATTTTTCTTTGCTACTTTATTCTGCTTCACATAGCAAATACAGTTTTCTTATTTTATGAACCCCTTCTCTCCACAACTGACCCTAGGATCAAAAATTTTTTAAATACCATCAATAAGACAAAACAGAGTTCATAAATACCAATTATAAAGTTTAGTCTCTTTTGATAAAAAAGTTAATTTTCAAAACTGTTAAAAAATTTCTTTCAGCTTCCTCTTATTTGTGTTTCTCTGTTAATCTTCGAAAAGCACAGTGAACATACTGTCTCTACTCACAGTTACACTGGTCACATACGTAGACTTTTCCTTCTAATACTTCGGTTTCTGTAAATTTGGCCAACATTTCAGTAACTAGACATGGCTGGGAAGCATTATCCTTTCCATTGCACTGGTATCTTTCTGGAAATTCCAGTGACAAGTCCCAGAAAGGTTCTATGGTATTTGATTTGTTGTCACATGCAAGACATGTAACCTGCAAATAAAAATATTAGTTCCTCAGATTATAATTCTGTCAAAACGTTAACTCCTTTTAGGAGAAATCATTACCAATAAATAAACTTTTCTCATGAAAATGTACCACTAGAATTCGGAATAGTCTGTTTTGTACTGTCAGAATATTTATTATTTTTCTTTCCAAATATTTGTTACCACATCCATTACAAATTGTTGAGCTTCAACTACTGGCCATTCAAAAAGCTCTAAGAGTATTTTTTTTTTTTTTATTTGACAGGCAGAGTTAGTGAGAGAAAGAGAGAGAGAGAGAAAGGTCTTCCTTCCGTTGGTTCACTCCCCAAATGACTGCTAAAGCCGGCGTGCTGCGCTGATCCGAAGCCAGGAGCCAGGTGCTTCCTCCTGGTCTCTCATGTGGGTGCAGGGCCCAAGCACTTGGGCCATCCTCCACTGCATTCCCAGGCCACAGCAGAAAGCTGGAGTAGAAGAGGAGCAACCGGGACTAGAACCCAGCACCCATATGGGATGCCGACACCGCAGGCGGAGGATTAACCAAGTGAGCCACAGCGCCAGCCCTGCTCTAAGAGTATTAATCTAATCTATAATTTAAGTAACAATCCAAGCTATGTATTCATTTAATTTGTCTATTATATATTATATGTGTGCATAAATATGTGTACATACATGTATGTGTGTATAAGTATGTATATATAAATATATATATACACACACAGGGTACTTCAAAAACTTTGTGAAAAATAGAACTAAAAGATCTTTCAAGATTTTTTTCACCCCAAATCCTAAAACCTTTTAACCCAATCCATTGTCTTAACCATAATAAAATACTATATTTTCATTTTCAGAATTTGAAGCCTTACTAATAATTTCAAATAACAGTACATATAAATAATGTCGTATTCCCCCTTATGGCAAATATCACATGAAAATCCTCATTCAAAGTCGTTAAGATGCCACTGGGAGTGCCCACAGCCCCTATCAAAGTGTCTAGGTTTGGGTTCCAGCTTCCTGCTCATCAGTGGTCTGAAAGAAGCAGATAATGGCTCAATTAATTGGGCCCCTGCCACCCACCTGGCAGATTCAGACTGGGTTTCCAGCTCCTGGTTTCCACTGGCCCAGCCCCAACTATTGTGGGCATCTGGGGAGTGAATCAATGAATGGGATATCTGTCTCTTCTCAAAATAAATAAATTACTCACCCAACAACAAAAACCCAACATGGAACAGTGTGCTAGGGGCCTACCTTTTGAGAAGTTTCTTTTCTTTTTTTTAATTTTTTTTTATTTATTTTTTTTGACAGGCAGAGTGGATAGCGAGAGAGAGAGACAGAGAGAAAGGTCTTCCTTTTTGCCGTTGGTTCACCCTCCAATGGCCGCCACAGCTGACGCGCTGCGGCCGGCGCACCGCGCTGATCCGAAGGCAGGAGCCAGGTGCTTCTCCTGGTCTCCCAGGGGTGCAGGGCCCAAGCACTTGGGCCATCCTCCACTGCCTTCCTGGGCCACAGCAGAGAGCTGGCCTGGAAGAGGGGCAACCGGGACAGAATCCGGTGCCCAGACCAGGACTAGAACCTGGTGTGCCAGCGCTGCTAGGTGGAGGATTAGCCTATTGAGCCGCGGCGCCAGCCTAGAAGTTTCTTGAATTAAAGAAAAAACTCATTCCAGCAACCAATTGTTAGAATTTCCTGTGAACCAATTTCCTAAGAGTTTACTTCATGTTTAAAGGAAGTGAAACAAAAAGCTTATATAAAAATTTCAAAATTCATTTATAAAGGGGGGAAAAACGGCACAGGGCCAGTCACATCTTTTGAACTATAAATGGTAAAAACAAACAAACAAAAAAAATCACCATTCTGAAAAGAAATTTGTCATTGCATCAAAGTCCTACCCTTTGACAAAGTAATTCTACTAGGACTCTGTTGTAAGGAAATCAGAAAAATAAATTTATCATGATATTCATTGGGGAAACTGGAAATAGTGTATAAGTCAACGGCAATAGTTAAATAAGTTATGGTATAAACTTATGATAAACAATGTTTTAAAAATATTCAAATATTTTTAGTGACTATGGAGTAGTCATTAAAGTATGGACTTTACAATATCAAATGAAAAAAGCAGGAAAATGTAAATGATTATGGAAAAAATATTTATTTACATGCAGGAGGAAAACCTGAAAAGAAATATACCAAAATATTTAGTTCTGTTTATGGATTATGTGATTTTTGGGATTAGGTAATGAGTTTTTTTTTATATAAATTTCCTGTATTATGGGAATATAGGTTTTCTACAACTATATATTTCACTACAGTATATTTTAATACTTTTGCATAGAAAAGAAAACAAAGTTGATAGGAAAATTAAATTGCATGGTATACAACAAGTATAACCTTATTTGTTAACTGGCACATTGCAGAATCTACAGTTTTGAAATATTTACCAAAATAAAATTCATAGATATTACTTAAGAATTACATCCAAATATTCTAAAGAAGTATTCTATAAAATAAAAGGTGACATTGTTGCAATGCAGGTTGAATTCAGGAAAGGTGGAAGGTATGCAAGGAGAAGAAAATGGCCTAAAAATCTGTCTCAGTTTTGAGAAATGTTTTTAAGTTTCGTGCTATGGAAAAGTAGAGAGCCTTACGTCCAGTAATTATTCACCAACAACTCTACTCATTATAGAGAATCATTAATCATATGGAAGATTCTAGTTTTGTAATCTCCCTTTCCACAACAAATCAAACTTTAACCTAGTAATTGAAATTAGGATTGTTCTAGATTTAAACAGTTTGGTCACCTTAAAATTTCCCCATCTACTTGTTAAAACTATCAGACCTTGATCCTTGGCCCTTTTATCAAGTGCTCTAGGTCTACTCCTTGGACCTTGAAATTGCTCAAGTGTGCACCATATCCATTCTTAATACAGCAGCATGGTTAAACCTTTTACTGCTAGGACCAAATACCTCTTCTTAACACCTTGGAGAATCAATGTTATACAGGTTGAGTATCCCTAGTTAAAAAATCCAAAATTTGAAATGCCCCAAAACTAAACCTTTTGGAATGTCATGCTGACATACAACAACTTTCAGATTTTTAAGCATTTTATCTCATCTACTTAAAAGGCAGAGTGACAGAGAGACAGACCTTACATGTGGTGGTTCACTCCCCAGATGCCTACAACAGCCAGGGTGGGGCCAGGTCAAAGCCAGAGAACCAAGAACTCCATCAGGGTCTCCACATGGATGACAGTGTCCCAAACACTGCAGCCACCATCTGCTGCCTCCTTTGGCTGCATTAGCAGGAAGCTGGATAAGAAGTAGAATACAGGTGTCCCAAGCAGTTTAACTTGCTATGCCATAGTGCCTGAGATTTTAGATACTGAATCCCATATGGGCACTGGTTCATGTCAAGCTCTCTATTTATGGCCTGGGAAAGCAGCAGAAGATGGTCCAAGTGCTTGGGCCCCTGCACCCACATAGGAGACCCGGAAGAAACTCCTGGTTCCTGGCTTCAGATTGGTTCAGCTCCGGCCATTGTAGCCATCTGGGAAATGAATCAGCAGATGGAAGACCTTTCTTTCTCTCTCTCCCTCTGTAACTATCTCTCAAATTAAAAAAATAAATAAATAAAAAAGTGCTTCTTGATTCCTCGCTTCCCCCCACAAACTTTTGATAGTAGGGACATGAAACTTTTTCCAGGGATTCATGAAGGAAAAGAATTGTAAATGAGTGAGTTGACTTCTTTATGCACTTTTATAAAACCATTAATTTTGATCTAAAAACTGTACTACCTTCAGCATACTAGATGCACATAGACTATGTCGTGTTTTATGCTTAACTTTATATAAATTCCCTAAGATGAAAATAGGATTTTAACAAATCCATACCTGACTAAGAAGTTGTCCATGAAATATGTTATTCACAACATTCAGAACTTGCTTGATAAGTTTTCTTTGGGATGTGGGGATAAGAGCTGGTAAGCTGGTGCCAGTTGTCTCCAGTTCATGTTGTATTTTATCTAAAAGTTCACAAAGAAATTCCTGAGCATCCTGTTGGGCATAACCACGAAAAGCAGGAATGAGTCTCCACACTGAGTGTAACATAGCGAACGGTGAGACCAAGGCCCACTTTCCAGACCACATGACTTGGAACAAAGTATGTAATTCATGACAAAGAGAAATGTATTGTGAACTTGGCTCCCTAGCTTGAATAAGTTCCATCTTTCGACTTTTTGATGCTCCGCCACTTAATCCTGATGATAAACTTGGATGTCTGGAGCGAACATAGCCTATATCCTTTTCCTGGCATTCATTCATTTGATGTGCTACTGTATCTGTTACGGCGGGATGCTTATAAGATCTGGTCTTATCGCTGGTAGTCACAGCCAGCCATTGGTTCAGATCAAGCTTTAAAAAACATTGTCGAAAAATAAGTAAGTGACTCAACACTTGAAGAACAGAATTCATATAGCAAGTGTTCCCCAAATTTCTCAATCCTGTTACACCAGGAGTTACTTCTGGCCTTCTGTTAACTGAGGAGTCTCTGACTTTTTTAAATGTTCCATCTTCCGAGGTAGGTAGCACTTTATGTTTTGCTGGTGATGATGGATTCTGTGGTGGTCCTTGAACAGGAACTATTTCTACCGTGGTGGACTGAGCGACACCTTGCAAACGTAAACTCTTTCTCGGAGGCACACTTTCCAATTCTACTTTAACCTGATGCTCTAATTCTTGCCGTCTTTTCTTCACTTCTCTTTTTGGCACTATTTTTTCCTGCAATTGTTCTTCTTGCTTTCTTCTTCTAGTGGGTGATTGCTCAAACCAAATTCGAAAGATTTTGCCCATCAGCCTCCTCCTCCTGTGGCAAAGAGCAGTGTACATTAGATCATTCTGAAGCGGAGACGGAGCACCATCGCGTGAGAACAGAGAGTCATCACTTGGACCCGTGGGCCGTAAAATCCTTCTACTACGAGTGGTGCAGTGGTGGTTTTGGCTTTTGATTGCACTTAATGTACTTCGTAGTAACTTCAGGTCTCCAGCTGCATTATCGTTAAGAACATAATCATCACAAAGATAGCAAAAAACATTCATCTCATTCACCTCCAGTGCAACAGGATGACTGCTTTCCTCAAAGTGCCTGAGTGCATGCTCTTCGATGTATCTTCCACAAGCCACGTGGGGACAGCTGAGGCAAGCCCAGATTGACTCAGTAGTATTGCAGTCCACACAATGCCACTTCTGAGGATTGAGGGTGGAATGGTCCTGAGAAAGCCGCAGCTGCCCGATGTGTCTGCACTTATCCATTGTTCACATTGACTCAGTCCAGCTTGAGAAACACATAGTCCAAATACGCCTCTGTTCACAATGCTTGAAACACCTGGAAACTAAACAGAACAATGTTCATTTTTAATAAGATAAAACCAAGAAGCCAATACTCTTTGATGAGGTATTTCCCCAAGAATAAATTACAGATTTACTTCTCTGTCCCTACTTTCTGGGCTGCTTTCCAGTTTCATAGGCAGCTCCAACTTCTCCCTTGCCCTAGACTTCTGACTGGTTACCTCCCTTGTTCTGAAAGAAAATCCATCCATGCTACTTCACTTTTTGTCTGATAGGGCCCCTTAAAAACACGTTTTTAATTGTCTACCACCATCTAGTGGTGAAAAATGAAAATGACCATTTTTCAATGAGCCAGATTAAGATATATCCTTTTTACTCAGTAGTCAGAAGGCAGTTTCTAAAATAACATTCCTTAAAAAAGTAGGTCTGTTAAGACCAAGATATAATCTAGGGGCCGGCGCTGTGGCACAGCGGGTTAATGCCCTGGCCTGAAGTGCCGGCATCCCATGTGGGCGCCGGTTCGAGACTCGGCTGCTTCACTTCCAATCCAGCTCTCTGCTGTGGCCTGGGAAAGCAGTAGAAGATGGCCCAAGCCCTTGGGCCCCTGTACCCACATGAGAAACCCAGAAGAAGCTCCTGGCTCCGGATGGGCGCAGCTCCGGCCGTTGCGGCCAATTGGGGAGTGAATCAGCGGATGGAAGACCTCCCTCCCTCTCTCTCTCTCTCTCTCTGCCTCTCTTCTGTATAACTCTGACTTTCAAATAAATAAATAAATCTTTAAAAAAAAAAGACCAAGATATAATCTCACTGATATATACTAGCTTTCTATGCCCTATGTGGAGTTACTAACCATAATTAAAAGCATGCGACTGAATTCTACCTTTGCCACATCTGTTAGATGTAGGATTTTGAGGAAATGTTTGAACCTCTCTAAACTCTGAAAGAGGAAAAAACATACCAGTTTCAATAGAACCGTCAAAGGTTTGAGAGCGAGAACATATTTATCTCATCCATAGTAAATTTTCAACAAATGGGCAGTATAATCATAGCTATAATGAATAAATCTCAATATTCTCAATATTCTACTTATTTAAAACAAATCCTATCTTCCACTTAATTGCCACTGAACATCTCTTCATATTTAGTACATAATTACATTTTTTTTAATTTGAAAGACAGAGACACAGGTATCTTCCATCCACTAGTTTTCTCTCCAAATGCCTACAACAGACAAAGCTGGGCATCGCTGATCCTGGAGCCAAGAATTTGGGCCATTAAGTGCTGCCTTCCCAGACAAATTAGCAGGAAGCTACACTGGAAGTGGGATAGCCAGGACTTGAATGTCGGATGCTGGTGTCGCAAGCTGAAGCTTAACTCGGTGCACCGCAGTATGAACCACACTCCTTAACTTTTATATCCTGAAGATGACCTTTAGACTGACCTGTCCGGCTTTCACATTTCAAGTGTACATCCTAAACTTCTCTTCCCTCAAAATTTCTTGAGGTATAAACTCTGGTCAAATACAGTGTTTCATCAGAATTCCTTAGACGCAACAGTTGCTAATGATTTGTGCGGAGGGACCTGAATGACAAACATCTGGAAGAAGGATGATGAGAAGACACGCCATCAAGCCGGAGATTTGGAAGAAATCACAGCTGCAGAAGTACAGGCGTTTTGTGAAGAGAGTAGGTAGAATTCGAGCTTAGCAGACCTTAGACTAGCTGAGGTCAGTGGAGGCTAAGAGAAGAATCTGGGACGCTCTTCTACCTACTCTGTTCAATATGGTTGAGAAAGGAACACTGAAAACTAAGTTAAACACTATCATGTTGCTGGCAAAAACAATTTTAGTTCAATACCTTGTAGAGCTGGTGAAACATTATTGACACTCAAGGAAAATTATATCGTTCTAACACTTTAAACAAGTAGAATGAGTCAACACCTTGTAAAATATTTAGACAAGCAAGCTCAACAGAAAAAGCCTAGAAGAAATATGTATTCACAAACACACATTTATATTTATTCTAGGGCTATCTCTGGATAATGGGACTAGAATTGATTTATTATTTTATTAATCAACATTTTCAAATTTTTTAAAAATAGAAAACATGTTAATTACATACACTTTAAAATCAGCTCAGAAAGTATTACATGTGCTAAGTTATACAATGGTTTTTACTCACTTCTCCAGACTACACATACATTCCCTCTGATGCAAGGAATCTGCCTAAGTCTAGATGATGGCAAAGTCCTTGATATTCAATAGGAAATGACATCTATAATGGAACATAATCGGATTTGGTGCAGAACTGTGAAAAGGGTCAAATCTTGTTCAGATATTTCTCTGAGAGACGTTATATTAGGGGAGAGGGCAAAATAGAGTCCATAATCTGGAATCCAACACATGGCTGTATTTTCTAAATGATTATGAGTTACATACCTCAGGATTTTTTTTATTTGTAAAATAACGGTGGTAATAACACCAATAGTGCTAAGCACTTAGAACAATTCCTGGCACTTATTACAATTCTTAGTGCATCTTAGTTGATAATAATAATTATTATTATGCTAGTTTCCTTCTGGTTGATCACTTTTAGTCAAGAGTTCATTCTCAACCAAAAGTAGACTAAGTCCAACTAAGGTGCTGATAATCAAGATGTTAGCTAAGAACTAAGGTCTGACCTCTCCCAGGAGTATTTGCATTTTAAAAGGGGTCTCTCAAAGATAAAATCTTTTAAAAACCCTAAGACAGGAACCAGAATAGCAGAATGACAGATCATGAGGTTAATATTTTAGGGCAGGGGGCCCACTAACGCCATCTACTTATGAAAGAAACCAGCAGGGGGTGGATGCTCTAGGGAAGGGCCTGGAGGAAAGCAGGACAGAGAACCAAGCAGCTGTCTCCAGAGTTCTCCAGTGTGCTCTCCTGCCTACAGCCTAAGCCCAGAGACCGCTCAGAGGGGCCTCACACACAAATCTAAAACCTGGGGGGCTGGGGGGAAGGGGAAGAGGGTGGAGGAGAGTGTTCTACTTGACACTTCCTTTTCTCCTCGCCGGGGTTCACAGCACTTCTTTTCATCTGCTAATCCACTACTGTGAAGCTACGTGTTACCTCTGCTAGGCTTCAGCAGACCAGATACACGATTCTGGGCAGCATATTCATCTTCAAGAGATGTGGCGTAACAAAAACATTTCTACACGCCCCATGCAGATTCTGAGAAAACATCATCTCTACCTACTTAACAGCACTATACAATTAGTAAAGGAATTTTAAACAAAATCTAGAAGGATTAAAATTATCTGTACTATAATTATAATATATTTTACAACTTTCACACTTGAAATTTAAATTTGTAGTAAGCAGCTTTTTAAAACAAAGTACATTATTTTAAAGAAAAAGGTATTTACACATATTCTAAAACCCTGTCATTCTTCAGTGCTTAAAGACAATGAAAATTTACATTTGTTCCAAGAAAACCATTTCAATCTATTCGAATTTTCCATACATATGACTAAACACATATTTCTGTTTTTAAAAATTCCCTTTAGGAAATTTCTAGATAAAGGTTAAGAAAACGATTGTATTTTAACTTACTGAAAGCTAATTTTATAGAGAAATAACATACCACTAAAGCATTTATTAAACAGAAAACTAAAATGACTAGAAAACATGAGATCTTATAAAGTATTTCTAATTAAAGATTTTACCACAACCAAAAAAATCAAGGTAACTGGTAAAAAAAAAATTTAATTTATTACAATTAGACACTGAAATTAATTTTCATTTATTCAAATTATAGTCCTTTGCAACATACCCTCCAGGGTTTAAGCATGTAGTAAAAAAACCTTTCTAATCAATTTCAATAGCTCTTCAAACAGCTTTTCATAATGAACTCATCCTACTGAGGTTCCACTAGAGGTTCAGTGATCTGCTCTAGATAGCTAACTACCTAGTCTTAGACACATCTCATACCCAATTTCTTTATATCTTGCCTTCAGAGAATCAGCTTCCTCTCTATTATCTTACTAAAGATGCTAGGTTTCCATTCAAATACCAAGGCTGGAAAGCTTAAAAGGCTTATTTTTTGATCCCTTCCTCCCCATCTTCTCCACTCTGACATTCAGTTGATGTGTCACTTCAGTGCACAAGGTTACTGGCCCCTACATCTATTGTTCCCCAAGTTCCCAGCTATGTTTCCCAGTGTGGACTTTAAGTTTTCACTATTGTATCACTGAAGCACTGTGATAGCCTCCCAACTGGTCTCAGCATAAGGACTCTTACCTCCATACTATCCCACCAAAGTAGTCTTCCAATAAGTTAAAAACAAAACAAAACAGGGTTTATCTGAAAGGCAGAGCTAGTAAGAGAGAGGTTGGGGGGGAAGAGATAGAGAGGGAGAGAATCTTCCATTTGCTGGTTCACTCCCCAGTGGCCACAATGACCGCTAGGCCAGCAAGAAGCCAGGAGCTTGGAACTGCACCTGGGTCTCTCACATGGGTGGCAGGGGCCCAACACTGGGGCCATCTTCGTCTGCTTTCCCAGGTGCATTAGAGGGGAACTGGATCAGAAGTGGAGCAACGGGAACTTGAACCAGCGCTCATATGGGATGCAGGCATCGCCATCAGTGCCTCAACCTTCTGCGCCACAAAAGGCCCCTTCCAATTTGCTTTGAACCTTTAGCTCTTGGTGTATTTAAAATCTTATCTCTGTATACTTACAATCACTCCCTCATGGTGGTCCAATGAGACTAAGACATTTCACACCGTGCCCCAGTAAGTGCTATATGTAGTAACACATACACATTCTGACAGAAGTTTCACAACATCCTCCAGGAGTAATGTATTCTGGGGAACAGCATTCTGGTCGAACAGGTTAAGCAGCAGCCTGGGACATGTAAAACCCACATGGGAGTGCTGGATTCAAGTCCTACTTCTGCTTCTGATCCAGTTTCCAGTTAATACATATCCTGGCATAATATATACTTTTCTATTCTCATCTTGGACTAGCCACTTCCCACACATCCTTTGTTAAAAAGTTAACATTCAAATGACATTGCAAATAAGTCTACTTTTTTGAACTCTTCCTGAAATGGGAGCCAATGTTTTATAGAAAGTGGGCATGCATTTTATATAAACACATATACATTCCGCTTCAATTAAGGAAACAAAGCACTGCTGGGCATAAAGTAGAATAAATTTTTTAAATAAAATTTGTTATAGTTGGTGGCCAGTGCTGTGGCGTAGCAGGTACAGCTGCTGCCTGCAGTGCCAGCATCCCATATGGGCACTGGTTCAAGAACCGGCTGCTGCACTTCCAATCCAGCTCTCTGCTATGGCCTGGGAAAGCAGTAGAAGATGGCCCAAGTCCTTGGGCCCCTGCACCCGCGTGGGAGACCTGGAAGAAGCTCCTGGCTCCTGGCTTCAGATCGGCTTAGCTCCAGCTGTTTTGGCCAACTGGGGAGTGAACCAGCAAATCAAAGACCTCCCTCCCTCTCTCTCTCTCTCTCTGCCTCTCCTTCTCTCTTTAACTCTTTCAAAAAAAATAAATAAATCTTTAAAAAAAAATTGTCATAGTAATCATGTTTGTCTCACTAAAGGAAATCCCGAGACCTCTAGGGATGGATTTTTTTTTTTTTAATTATTTATTTGAAAAGCAGAGAGAGAGAGAGAGAAAGGTCTTCCATCCTATGGTTCACTCCCCAAATGGTCGCAACAGCTAAAGCTGAACAGATCTGAAGCCAGGAGCCAGGAGCTTCTTCTGGGTCTTCCATGTGGGCGCAGGGGCCTAAGGACTTGGGCCATCTTCCACTGCTTTCCCAGGCCATAGCAGAGAGCTGGATTGGAAGTGGAGCAGCCAGGACTCGAACTGATGTCCATATAGGATGTTGGCACCTAAGGTGGCAGCTTTACCCGCTACACCACAGTTGGCCCTGACATAGAATCTTTAAAGAATTTTTGTAAGGTCATTTTCTTTTACCAGGAACAGCCTAAACAAGTCCTCTGAAGGAAATTTTTAGAAGTTTAAAGATTTGTTAGCTTGCATGATGAAAGACAGGAAGAAATGGTAATTTCAGTAGGAAGTAGACCCTAGGAATTATAGACCACTGAAATCATTGCATGCATTTGAGTAAGAATGAAAATAGCTTTATCAGTTTGCAGTAATTAGGCCAGCGCTGTGGCTCACTAGGCTAATCCTCCGCCTTGCGGCGCCGGCACACTGGGTTCTAGTCCCGGTTAGGGTGCTGGATTCTGTCCCGGTTGCCCCTCTTCCAGGCCAGCTCTCTGCTGTGGCCAGGGAAGGCAGTGGAGGATGGCCCAAGTGCTTGGGCCCTGCACCCCATGGGAGACCAGGAAAAGCACCTAGCTCCTGGCTTCGGATCAGCACGGTGTGCCAGCTGCAGCGCGCTGGCCTCGGCGGCCATTGGAGGGTGAACCAACTGAACCAATGGCAAAGGAAGACCTTTCTCTCTGTCTCTCTCTCACTGTCCACTTTACCTGTCCAAAAAAAAAAAAAAAAAAGCCAGTTTGCAGTAATTAGTGTACACCCTACTCACTCCTTATTGGCTGTGTTCAATTTCCATTTGCTTCAGGGAACCACC